TTGCAAATACCCTCTGCAATTTTTCTTTTTTTTTTTTTTTTTTTTTTTTTTTTTTTTTGCGACTGAGCGTTGCTGTGTTGCCCAAGCTGGCCTTGAAGTCCTGGGCTCCGGTGATTCTTCTGCCTCAGCTTTCTGAGTACCTGGGACTATAGACTACAGGTGCGTCCACCTCTCCTGGCTTCTGGGCTTTAACTAAATCAAAAACAGGCTGTTCAGGAAGCATATTCTAACAAGCCCTTAAGTGTAGGGATATTTTTCTTCCTTGTCCTGGGGCCCTCACTGGTCTAGCACAGTTTTTTGTACGTGCTAAGTGCCCAGTAAATATTTGCTTGGTGAATGGATTCTTGATGTCAGAGACACATTCTTCTTCTGAGGTGTTTCTTTGAATGTTGAGTTCTGTTTTCTGGATTAAAGATTAAGAGTTGGCACCAGGCCTGGCTTGTTCAAGTGTACAGGCACACATCTGTGTTCTCAGCACTTGGGAGGCTGAGGCAGGAGGATCACCATGAGTTCAAGATCAGCCTGAACTACATAGTGAGACCTGTCTCAAAAAGCCCTTATACCAAAAAAAAAAAAATACAAAAAAAAAAAAAAAAAGAGAAATAGTGAGAACTGGGCTGAAATTATTTTGAATCACAGATTTATACAAGTTAATGTTTTGTTTTGTTTTTTTAAATAGATCAGTGTCATCTCAGCTGAAGGAAAACAAGGGATATGATGGCTTCAGTCTGGGTAAGTAAAGTACAAGCCTTCACAACACAGTATCTTATCTGGGTCAAATCAAGAAAATGAAAATATCAAGGTGGAGTGGTGCACAGCTGTAATCCTAGCACTGGAGAGGCTGAGGCAGAAGGATTGCTGGGAGACTGAGGCCAGCCTGGGCTACAGCCTGAGACTCTCACTCACTCAAAAATAAGTAAATAAACAAACAAACAAAAAAAGAAAATCAAAATATCATGAACACATTTTTGGATGTTGATAAAAAGTTCATCTGAAAACATGTCAAAATGCTAGCAAATATGCAAAAGTAATAAAATATTTAAAAATGTATAATAGAGTTCTATAGTTAAAATAGTTTGTGATGACACCAAAGCAGAGAGGTAAAAAATAATAAATGTGGTATATAGTTTTTGTGTTCTATATGATATTATATGTATCATATGGTAAAGATAGAACTTCACATCAGCAAGGAGAAGATATCTTTAACTATACTTAGGATAACTTTTAACTGTTTGGGGAAAAGTAACTCTGCCTTCCTTCTCCCTTCTTACATTAAAATGTAAAATGCAGATGAATAAAATACAGAAATGAAGGAGATGTGATGTGGTAGATAGAGTTTTAAAATAATCTCATGGTGGGGGAAAGTAATTACACAGTGACCCCAAACCAAAGCCTGGAAGAAAAACATTGATCTGTTTAACACATATGAATGTATAATTGCAACAGCAACTAATTAGAAGCCTCAGGAGACAACCTAAGGGGAAAAACTTTTGTAGCACATTAGACAAAAGACTTTATTCCATTCACATAAAAGTAACTTGAATAAATCAGTTTAAAAACTGAACATGAGAGATTTGCAAGACACATAACTAGGACATGAAAAGAATTATAAATACCCAGTGAACGTGGAGAAAAGCACTGCACCTCACCGAGAATAGAAGAAATGTAAGTAACCCAAAGGGAGACCATTTTCTACCTGAGAAAGTAGAAAAAGTGAAAAATTTGCAGCACAGCCTGTGTTACAGACACCGTGGGCAGAATGGACTCTGCTCTGTGTGGGAGAGTAGGTTCAGTGGCTCTTTGAGAATGTTCACTTGTTACCCTTCAGTGTTCACGTGCATGTGTCATCAAACCCCGGAATTCCACTTTGAGTATATATCATAGAGACTTAAATAAGTTTGAAAAATAAAGGGATGTTCATTTGTACTTGTCTGTAATTTTAACCATTTTATGTGATCATTAAAGGAAATGAGGGCAAATAGGAAGTCCACTGTATATGTACTAATACAGAAAATACAGAATAGTATGTACAGAGTGATTCTGGCTGAAAGAAAGAAAAAAGAATATGCAGTAAAACTGTATTCCATGGTCACTTTCTAGAAAGGTGAAGATAGGGCACATGTACTCTTCAGTGTATCACCTGCTATACTCTTGGATTTGCTTGTGAGGCAGGGTCTCACTAGGCAGCCCAGGGTATCCTTGAACTCTCAATGATCCTCCTGCCTCAGCCTCCCGAGTGCTAGTATTATAGGTGGCTTTTTTTAAAACTGTAAGCATATATTTTAGAAGTAAGGCATGAGGAAAGTTTCAAGAGGAGCAGAGATGTGCTCACCTCTGGCAGAGCAGTGCAGAGGAGATGGGCTGATGACAGCTTTGCCTGGCCCCACATTATTCTCAGCCACTGGTCAGGAAGCTGACCTTGCCTCTTGCAGTCTGAGATACCTGCTGCTTTTGTGGACCTCTAGCAGAGTCAGATGGGAAAAACAAAACAAAATCACCTCTTAAAAACACTAGCCCTGGCCTCTGAGGAAATGGACACAGGATTAGGCTCTCCAGCTGACATCTCAGAGGGCTGGGAGAAACCCAGGCAAGTGTGGGATAGGGTGTGTTTCCTGTTTCAGCCATAAGAATTTACCACAGATTTAACAGTTAAAACGTCTATGTATTGAGTCACGGTTCTATATGCAAGCAGCCCGAGATGAATCTTCATTAAAATAAGGCACGTGGCAGGGCTGCTTTCCTCTCTGGAGGCTTCGGGGAGAATCCTCTATCCAGACCGCTTAGGTGGTGGATTGCAGTAGCAAACTGAGGTCTCTGCCTCCTGCAGGGGCTGATCTAGCTCCCAGTATTCTCGCTCAGTCCTTTGCATCTGGCTGCAGCATCTGGAAGCAGCCAGGGTGTATCGAGTCCTCACTAGAGGAATTTCAGCCTTTCCTTTCTGGGCCTCCCGCTTCCGTCTCCTCTTTCCACCTTCTCCTCCTGCCTCCCATCCCCAGCAGAAGTCAGTTCTCTGCTTTCAGAGCTGCTCATTAGATTGGGCCCACCCAGGTCATCGAGGATAATCTCCCTGGATTATGCTGACCTCAGAGAGCAAATGTGAAGAGCAACTCAGAGCGGTTAGGAAGGACAACGTGGCAGTTCCTTAAAAAGCTAAGAATAAAACTACCAGATGATTGCGCAGCCCTACTTCTGGGTGTGGATCGAGGGTGTTGAAGAAAGGTTTGCATACCTGTGCTTATTGCCCAGATGTGGAAGCAGCCCAGTGTTGACCTGTACGTGAGACAGACATGGATAGAAAGACGCAGTTCGTGCACACAGTAGAGGAGTATCCAGCCTTTGAAATCGGCGATCTTGCCACATGCACACATGGACCTGGAGCATGTTGTGCTAAGTGGAGTAAGCCACTTGTAGACAGACAGATATGTATGATTCCACTAATACAAGGTATCCGGAGGACCCCAGTTCACAGAAACAGAAAGCAGCACGGTGTTTGCCAGAGGCCAAGTGGGGCAAAGGAGGCGTTCTTATTTGGTCAGAGTAGAGTTTCAGTTCTGGAGGATGAAAAAGTTCTGGTGATCTCTTTCAAAAGAGTGAGCATTCTCATCCCAACTGAACTGCACACTTAATAATGGTGGACATTTAACAAAAATTCAGATTTCCTGTTACAAATACTCATATCACGGAGTGTTGTCACGGAGCCCAGGCTAATGCCCAGTGCACTTCAAACCCGGTGCTGCGATACTGGAGTTGTGCAGAAAGAAATTGCTTCACTGCACTGTCAACCAGCAAGGAAGTCAAGAGCTAAAGGCGCTCAGGTCTGCCTTCCCATTGGTTGGGAGAAGGAGCGTGGGTGGGAAGGGAGAGAGGAGAGTGGTTGGATGGTGGGAAGAGGGGTGCTCGGGCGCTTTGCATAGGCGTGAGCAGTTGTCCTGTTTATTTCTGGGGAAGTCACCTCATGGTGTGAGGGGAGTTGGGGCCTGAGACGCGAGCGGGGTATTGGCTGGATAAGCTGGCTTCCTTTGTACGTGTCTGTTCCTGAAAAGCTTGTTCTGAACCCTCCTTGAGTGGATTTTGGAGGCTCTCCCTGAGTAGATGTCTGGGTGTGCCTGGACCTTAGCTGATTTCATTTCTTTTCTTCTTTTTCCCTCTTAGCCGCAAAAGCACATAGCAGCCACATGCAAATGAGCCTCTGGTGCAGCCATCAAGGCTGGAGGTGGGTTGGAGGTTACCAGTGTGTAGTTGGTTTATGAGAGTAATGTGATCAAGGCCAGGGACCTCAGGGGCAATTTCAGTACAGTGGTGTTGAGTAGGAAGGAAGGGCTGGTTTTTAGGTCTTTCATATTGTATTTAGGGCTGTTGCAAAGCTACCATTGTTTCAGATAAATAATCTCTGTTGCACTGGTGTTTTGTTTATTTTGAAGTCTTAAATGTCTCTGTTCAGGCATTTGTTCTACTGCCTCACTTGACAGAAAGGCCTGGGATTAAGGCATGCGTCACCAGGCATGGCTTTCATTTTATCCAAAAATATATGCCTTGCTAAATAATATCCCTGCAACTGTTTTAGTAAAGGAGCTTCTGCCTATTTCCTCCATGTGACTTTATTTCACATCAATAGCATATCCTCCCCAGTGAAATGGTTCTCTTTAAGCCACCTGAGACAGCTGATCTCCAGATAGATTCTTTCTGACCACTTCTGTTTTCAGTATTTTATAGTATTTTACACACACGTGTACCTTTAAGACATCTAGTGCTGGTTTTCTACTCCAGATGGGTAGGTGGGATGGAATCCAGTTCAGACCTTTCCAGGGGTTACCATCAGATTCCACAGGTCCCAAAGCTCCATCCTCCAGGGCTCCTCCCCGACCTCCAATGCCAGGCACAAGTCGTGGTTACTACCCTCACTTCTGATTGGTGGGCCTGCTTGGAGAACTCACTGAAAGAGGTCTACTTCCATTCGGAGATGTATTACAAGGGCTACACACAGAGCAGGGTCTGGAAGGGTCCTGGCTGTGTAGTGCCCATGCCTTTGCCCCATGGAGTCAGGGCGGGCTACCCTCACTGCCATCTGTGTGTCCACTAACCAGGAAGCACCTCAGAACCCCAGTGTACAGAGCATTAGCCAAGGTTCCCCTAGGTAGGTGGAACTGATTTGATTGTTTATCACATGGTTGAACATTTAGTCCAGTCCCCTTTCCTTTTTGGAGTCAGCTGACCCAGGGTTCCAGCCCCGTAACCACATGCTTGGTCCTTCTGGTGACTAGCTAACATCCTGAAGCCACCTACGGCCTGCCAGGAGTCACCTCAGGAGCCATAACAAAGACGCTTTTATCTCTCAGTAAATTCCCAGGGCTTTTCAAACTCCACCTAGACAGGACAAAGACCAGATCTATTCCTTATCATATGTCACATGTATAACTTACACTAAGGCACAGAGTTTCCAAATCAGCATATCCTTTTATTTCTATTAAAATTATATTGACACTAATGGCACTGTCTGTGAATCAGAGCAGAATCCCTGATTTTAGTTATAGCTTTAATAGTGAGGGGAACTGGGAAAATGAGTTCATGTTTTGTAATGAACAATGGCAAACAGTCATTCAAAGACGTAGGGTTCATATAGAAAAGACTGAAAGGGATCCTCACGGGGGAGATGTGGAGGCTGAGGGATGTAAGGGAGGAACTTGCAGACAGGAAAAGCTGGTGGTAACAGCGAGCTCACCAGGAGAGCTGGG